CGTCCCATCTAACCTTAATATAAAAGGATCTATCTCCAATATATAATTCATCAACTTTTAACGCACATGTTTCTTCTCTATTTGCTTTGACATTATTGGCCCAAATATATTCAAGTTCTACCTTTTTATTTCCAGCAATTTTACGCCACACTTGAATGGTACTTCTTCCGATAAACAATTGCGTAGTTTCTTCTTTATCAAGAAATACAGAAGTTCGATCATAAACATCTATCACCCATGGCTCTTTACTTACAAGTGGTTTTGTTTTATTTTGGGAATATAGTGAATATATCGTATGCTCATTTTTAGACTTAGAACATGACATTTTTCTAGGCGACTCTACTAATTTACTGTTATCATTATGAATAACTATGCTATGAATTTCTTTACCTTCTTCTTCAGGATCACAATTATTAATCAAACGATCAAATACTGAAGAAATATTTCCGTAAGTATCTACAGTAATGAGTTTTCCAGGAATTCTTGCAATAGAAGAAATATTTTCTTCATCCGTTACAAAATTAACTTTTCTTCCAGATTTAACATGATTACTTGTACTAAATAAATTCCAATATAAAATTTGACATTCCGATTCCGATTTTTGAACTATTACTATTATAGTTTTATCATTATTAATAAAATCACAAAATAATATTTTAACACCTTTTCCAAAATCTTCAGAAGCTATTTCTAAACCATTTTCTACAAGAAAAAGAAACAACTTTCCAAAACCGAACGAAAAAGCGATAATTTTTTCATCATTTGATCTTGCAAATATAGGAGTACCGAATTTTCTTAATGACTTTCTTACATGTGACTTTCTTACATGTAAATTAAAGAATTGTTTCATTTCCATAGTTCTTAAATCATACAACTGTAAAACTTGAGTACCTCCTTTATATTGTTCAATAAAAAAATAATGATCAAAAATACTATTAAATAATCTTGTTATACATGATTTCCTTTTATATAAAGTATTTAAATCATCTTGAAGCCTTTTTGGATAATAAAATTGTTTCATTCTTTTACCACTTAAATCATGAGTAAACTTTTTTCTAAAAATTCCTTTTACGTTAAAGATGAGACAATAAATATAATTCTTTTTATCATTATGAACGAAAATAACGATTCCACCAGGTAAATCACTACATATTCGTTCAGGTTTTGATTTTTGATTTAATTTTATTTTATAAATAACAGTATTTCCCTCATTAGCAGTAGTATCAGTAGTAACAATTTCAACCGGTTCAGGTTCTTTCTCTTCAAACTCATTAGAATTAGTACTAGTAAGATTTTCATTATTAAGATTTTTCTTGCCAGGACTTGTCGTATCAGATTTTGTAACACGAGATATGGCCACCAAGACTTCTTTTTCGTTTAGAGTATTTGTAATTGAATTCGAAATTGCTATTGTCCATTTTGGATAATCCTTTTTAGATTCTTCATTTTTAAATACGGATCTAACGTCATAAGATTCTTTTTCGTAAGAATCATTTATAATTTTTTCAGGAATAATTTTAAATTCGAGTTTTTCTGCCAACGAAAAAAAAAAATTTAATTTGCGAGAATGATTTTCCAACACTAAAATATATTTTTAACTTACCATGGTCAAAAATAAGAACGTTCTCACCATCCGGACTAATAGATATATGCCAATTAGATTTTTTAGAAGTTAGAATATCTAATGGTATTTCCTCCGGTTTTTTTTGACTTAAGATTTTTGGTAAATTATTGTTCGATTTTTCAACTAATAATATAGTAATATAAAATGAGTTTGGTAAAATAAGTTTAGAGCAACATTTTATATACAATACTTACGTGGAATAAATATTCCTCCAATTAAATCTGATTTCTGGTATACTGCAAATAAAATGATGGAGAATGAGAAAAAAAATTAAATAAGCCAATACGTGAAGATAACTAATGACGTTTACCTTCCGAGACAGAAGTAGTTAAGATTGTTGGAGTTTCCTCCTTATAGGACATTTTTTATATAAGGATGTAATATATGTACGTATTTTTTTTTTAATGTAGAATCAGATATATTTTTTTTTACGAGATATTTTTCACAAGTTTTTTAACGAAATGATATTTTTATTACAAGTATTTATAAGAAATTATTTTACTAATTTTCTTTTAATGTAATAAAAATATGCAGTAAACATGCATGTAGTAAAAAACATTTTTCAAGTTTATTATTATCGCTTTTATAACAAACACAATAAATTATTAGGAAATTATTGTTCATGACATGATATTTGCATATCATTAGAGCGTTTCGAGATTGCATTTTTTTTTGTGCTTCAAATTGAGAAGAGAAACAATAATATGCAGTAAAATGTAGTGAAATAAACTATCCTTTAAGGGTCAGTTAAAATAACTAGAGTAACATGATCTTCCGAATAATTTTCCTTTCTAAAAAATCTTTTTTTGATTACCTCAAATTCAGTGGATGTGCGGAATGTGCGCTCCGCACATGACCTTGAAATTCGCTCACAAATAGAAATGGAATCGGTTCAAATGAGTCGACTCGAGTCGATTCTGGAACCGATCTTAAATTTAAAAGATTCTGGATCTCTTGGGCTTAAAACTACTATTAACCATAAAAACCGTTCTCAAATTGAGTCATCTGACGATCACACACCAACTATCATTTCTGATTGATCATCATCACATGCTCTACTTGTGTCTTAAATTTGATGCACGTAGCCTCATATTTTTATTTATTAGAACCGAATTAGAACCGACGAACCGATTTCCATCCCTACTCACAAACTATGGCATATTGATGTTCGGATTTCTTAATAGTAGCGCGCATTATTCAATTTGCTTAGTAATATGGCAAAGTATATGGCGCACTAAAAAAACTGGATTAATTAATTGATTGGTAAAGATAATTTAACTAAATCTTAAATGTTTTTACGTCCAAATAATTCATTTCGCTTGGTTTATTGATTTATCACATGATCGATTACATATGATCAATTAAATGTAATCAAAATTTTGATCGCGATTATTTCTTTTGGTACCCTTTTAATTCTTCTTGACAAGTAGGCCAAAGCCTCACCGTTTAATGAGATTTTACAGATTTTACGATAATATTAGTTTAGTACGATTTTGTATGTAAAGTTTTATTGTAACGGTTTTGTATAAAAATTCTTTATAATTCATTTTGTCATTTGTTGAATTGTATTTAGTGAATATGGGCCGTTGTTTGAGGTTAAATCACGTCCATCTTTTGAGGTAGCAAATTTTATCCTTCACGATCGAATTTAGTTTAATCGGCTTTCAATCGGACCTGACCTGATGATAACATAAAAACTTTTACATTATTATTAATTTAACTAACTACCATTTTTTTATTAATAACAACTAATGCAAGATACAATTAATAAAAATACAACTGAACATATACTATATATTATACAAAAAAAAAAAAATACCGTAATAATATAATACTATATTACAGTTCATTATTGTCTTAATATTTCGTAAATTTCATTAATTTTGCAATTCATTGAACGAATAACATCATCCGCATTATTTTCATCTTCATCACCATCATTTTCATAATGATCTTTATCCAAACTTTTATCACTTCTTGAAATATTATCATCATCAATAATTTCACCATTAATATTTTCGCGTTTGTTAACAGGTTTTTTATAATTCAAAAGTGAATTCTCATCACCATCCCCTTTAAATAATAATTTAGTTTTAATCATCTTACTTTCTAAATCCTCATAAAATTTCTTTAATTTACGTTTTTTTACTATTCCTTCCCATGTATCATAACTTTTTGATTTACCTAAATAATAAATATATTTTGGTTCTAAAGGTGAAGTAAAAAAATGTATTTCATCTAAAGCTTCATAATCTGATATAAGTTCGGCACGATATCTTAATAATGCAACACGTCCCTTTTCAAATGCTTCAGCATATACATTCCTGGAATTTTTAAAAAATGAATTAATTAAAAATAAAATAAAAATAAAAATAAATAAAAATAAATAAAAATAAATAAATTTAACTTACCATATAAAGGCGATAAATATATTTTGTACGACAGTTATTAAGAAAAGACTACCAATCAAAGTTAATGCTTCAACTGCCCAAAAATTCCAGGTAGCTTGTTGTGGATAAGAACCACGTAACCAAGCATATGTTGAAAGAAATGATGTACCAAAATCTTTACTTGGATTATCGAGTTTTCGATTAAAATCTTATACAACAGATGTGCCGACCGTTTCACTCGCACTATTTTGTATAGTATAGCTTGACGTCTTGGGAGTAATATCATCAAGATCAGAAAAGTCCGTATGTTGTAATAAGAGTAAAAACACGTGAGAAAGCGCAAGAACAACCAATAACATGAAAAAGACGAATAAATATGTCCTTTTTATAATATTTAATATAATGTAAATAAATTTCGCAGGTTCTAAAAATAATAATTATGATTATAAGAAATTATTACTTTAACAATAAAATCCGATTTATAAATATATATATATTTATTTACCTAAAAACAATCAAAGATATAGGATCTAATTTTTTTTTTAAAAAAAAGAAATTTTTTTTTTTTTTTTAAACAATTGAACCAAAACACCGATCAAATTAGATTGTTCTGTGCTACCATAAATAATTAAAGATATAGGATCTAATTTTTTTTTTAAAAAAAAGAAATTTTTTTTTTTTTTTTAATCAGAATAATTAAAAAGTAAAGAAATTAATTTATACTTACGAATTCAAACCAAAGTAATAACATTGTAGAAGAGAAACCAGCAGTTATGTTTGATGTAGCTACAACATCAGCAAATGCATTTGTTAATTTAAAGCTAGGAGTAATATAAACTGATACCATAGCTGTCGAAATAACAACTGAAGCTAAATCTACAAAATTAAAGAAATCCACATAATGTCTCCAATCATGATGTTAAAACTGCCTATATTCTACCAAGAATAAGTAAATACCGGAATAATAAAATAGAATAAAAAGGAAAACTAAAAAGTTGCGTAAATGTCCTGTTGTTTCAACATGACCTAAATAACATCCTACCAACGCAGCAAAACAAGCTGCGAATAAAATATATATAAAAAAAACTCTAAGGAAATAATTTCTTGTTGGAACCCACTTATAATTAATTGCAGCTTCCATCGCTGGATTATCAAATATATCATCATCTTTTTCGTTTCTAACAATCTGAACAAGTGGACTAAGTTGTATATTCTTTAAATATCCCCGAGGAATGAATGCAGCTTGAAAGATTTTTGATAAAAAGATCCTATTTTTCTGTTTATCATATCTCCTGCAGACGGTAAAATTGCGTAATGGGATTATTTTTACCGTTGGAGAAAGATTCTCTGTATTTGAGAATATTTTCATATAAAGTTTTTTCAAACGTAAACTAATTGATTTTTGTTTTTCGTCTTTTGTTGAAATAAGTTTCGTGTTTGGATTAAATGCTATAAATTCTTGTGATTCTTTTACAGTAGCTTCAATTTCTTTGGGTGTAAGATCTGTATAATCGATCATGTTAGATATCTCAACGCCTGAGATACATCTTTTATAAAATATTTCTTTAATGAAGTTTTCTATTAAACGAAAAAAAATTTTGGAAACTATAATACTAGTTAATGAAAAGGAAATAAAGAATAAAAAGATACAAACTTAGATTATATTTAATTAAATCTGGTAACGCTTCCGAAACAGTAGATAGCCAACCGATGTGTTTAAGCGAGTTTTCCGTGTAGTATTCAAGTAAATAAGCGACAATTAAAGATCTACGGTTACATTCAAGACCTATTTAATTTTAACTTGTGTTTTAAAGAAATGTATTGTACTGTATATTATATATTTATTGAAATAAATTACCTCCTTTACATAAACGGATCGCGATTTGTAAATCACTTGAGTTGTTTATTCTCAATTTTTTCGTCTCTTCCTTCTCTTTAATAGCTTCCTCTTTAAACTTTTTTTCGTCTTCATTTTCCCATCGATTTATTCTAGGAATATGCAAATTCCAATTCTTATCTTTTCCATCTCCAAATAAAATGTATTTAATCAAAGTATTTGAACCTCCAATTATAATTTTTGCCATAATATCAAAACGTACATCCATTAATCGCCAAATATTTGGTTTATTTTTAATAAATCTCCAAATGATGTAAGATAAACGATCTTTCATATCCACGAATTCATGCCGTTTTTTATGTCCAACCAATTTATTTCTCGATAATTTAAATGTAAAAGAGCATCACAAGCATGTATTATTGGAGTCACATGATTATCACTATATGGCCATTTAACTTCAAAGAATTCATTATCCTTTAATTCGTCCCATCTAACCTTAATATAAAAGGATCTATCTCCAATATATAATTCATCAACTTTTAACGCACATGTTTCTTCTCTATTTGCTTTGACATTATTGGCCCAAATATATTCAAGTTCTACCTTTTTATTTCCAGCAATTTTACGCCACACTTGAATGGTACTTCTTCCGATAAACAATTGCGTAGTTTCTTCTTTATCAAGAAATACAGAAGTTCGATCATAAACATCTATCACCCATGGCTCTTTACTTACAAGTGGTTTTGTTTTATTTTGGGAATATAGTGAATATATCGTATGCTCATTTTTAGACTTAGAACATGACATTTTTCTAGGCGACTCTACTAATTTACTGTTATCATTATGAATAACTATGCTATGAATTTCTTTACCTTCTTCTTCAGGATCACAATTATTAATCAAACGATCAAATACTGAAGAAATATTTCCGTAAGTATCTACAGTAATGAGTTTTCCAGGAATTCTTGCAATAGAAGAAATATTTTCTTCATCCGTTACAAAATTAACTTTTCTTCCAGATTTAACATGATTACTTGTACTAAATAAATTCCAATATAAAATTTGACATTCCGATTCCGATTTTTGAACTATTACTATTATAGTTTTATCATTATTAATAAAATCACAAAATAATATTTTAACACCTTTTCCAAAATCTTCAGAAGCTATTTCTAAACCATTTTCTACAAGGAAAAGAAACAACTTTCCAAAACCGAACGAAAAAGCGATAATTTTTTCATCATTTGATCTTGCAAATATAGGAGTACCGAATTTTCTTAATGACTTTCTTACATGTGACTTTCTTACATGTAAATTAAAGAATTGTTTCATTTCCATAGTTCTTAAATCATACAACTGTAAAACTTGAGTACCTCCTTTATATTGTTCAATAAAAAAATAATGATCAAAAATACTATTAAATAATCTTGTTATACATGATTTCCTTTTATATAAAGTATTTAAATCATCTTGAAGCCTTTTTGGATAATAAAATTGTTTCATTCTTTTACCACTTAAATCATGAGTAAACTTTTTTCTAAAAATTCCTTTTACGTTAAAGATGAGACAATAAATATAATTCTTTTTATCATTATGAACGAAAATAACGATTCCACCAGGTAAATCACTACATATTCGTTCAGGTTTTGATTTTTGATTTAATTTTATTTTATAAATAACAGTATTTCCCTCATTAGCAGTAGTATCAGTAGTAACAATTTCAACCGGTTCAGGTTCTTTCTCTTCAAACTCATTAGAATTAGTACTAGTAAGATTTTCATTATTAAGATTTTTCTTGCCAGGACTTGTCGTATCAGATTTTGTAACACGAGATATGGCCACCAAGACTTCTTTTTCGTTTAGAGTATTTGTAATTGAATTTGAAATTGCTATTATCCATTTAGGATAATTATTTTTAGATTCTTTTTTAAATACGGATTTAACATCATAAGATTTTTTTTCGTAGGAATCATTTATATTTTTTTCAGGAATAATTTTAAATTCAAGTTCATCTACAAATGAGAGTCAACGAAAAAAAAAATTAATTTTGGAAGAATGGATGATTTTCCAACACTAAATTATATTTTTAACTTACCATGATTAAACATAAGAACGTTCTCACCATCCGGACTAATAGATATATGCCAATTAGATTCTTTTTTAGAAGTTAGAATATCTAATGGGTTTTCATCCGGTTTTTTTGGACTTGAGATTTTCGGTAAATTATTTTTCAATTTTTCAGCTAATAATACGGTAACATAAGTTTAACGTAACATTCTGATATACCTATTACGAAATCTACGAAAAGAAATATATATATATATATATATTCCAGGATTTGTCTGGAATTTGTCCTCATTGACCTAAATAATATCTGGATAATGTCCGAAATCTTCACATTTCAATACATTATCCGGACATTTTCTAAATATAACCGAACATTCTCGCTACAATTTCCGGACATCTCTTTTTTTGTAGGGGAAATCACTTACGTGAAATGAATATGCCTCCAATTAAATTTGATTTCCGTTTTACTGTAAAATAAAATGATTATTGATTAATTAAATAGTAAGTTTTTGAAAAAGTAATTAAAAAAAAAGGCTTTTACCTATTGATGAATGAGGGAGAATGAGGGTATAACAAAAAAATCACGTTAGTAAATAAGCCAATACGTGATGACGAACGATAACGAACGATAACAAATGATAATTACCTTCTGAGACAGAAGTATTTGAATTGACACTTATTTCTTCATTAAAAGATGATATTGTTGAAGGAGTTTGAACAATATACTCCTCATCGGACATTTTTTTATATAAGAGTGTATATATATGTATACGCAATTGTTTTTAATGACAAATCAGATTTTTTACGAGTATTTATTACAAGTTTTTAACGAAAAATTAGAGATATTTTTTTTTATGGGTATGTATTTATAAAAAAATTATTAAATATCTTTTTTTCTCACATTTAACCTTTTATATCAATCACAATAAATTATTATTTCCTTTTTTCTTTTAGTATGCATAATTTTAAACATTTTGCTGAGTGCCAAAGTTATTAATTATTTCCATAACTGGTAAATCTTTTTTTAAAATAAAGAATAATATTTTACTTTTATTGTTCGCTTCGCTTAACAAATTAATATACAAAAAAACATATATAGATGTGTTGTGGCTTGAGTATACTGTAAAACGTTTAGTGATCAACATTATGGCTGGGTTTTTTAATGTCATTTATAATTACCATTTCGAGGTTCGAGTATTCAATCCATTACATCAAAACTAGTCAAATATAATAAAATCTCTCTTCGTCATTAAATCATCTTTAGTAAAGAGCATATTGAGTAGATTTTAAATTAAGATATAACAGATAAACAAATAAGCAGTAAATATAGTCATTATAGTGCAACCTTGTAAAATAATTTTATTTCTAATTTTTTAATGGTTAATTAGGCCCTTGAACACATTGATAAAAACCTCATTGTACGGATTTGATAAGTTAGTTCGAGGTTCCGTGGTTCTTATTGTACCGATATGAAAAAGTTTTACGGGTTTATGATTTTTATCTTGTACGGATTACGATAAAATTTGTAACAAATTGACACAAATTGACAATAAATTTTTACCTGCGAGTACAGTTTTACACAATTTGACGTCATATAATAACAATACTGTATCGATGTATTTTTTTTATAGTCTTTTTTTTTTTCTTTTTCAATATATTTAATAATATATATGAATTCCAGCGAAAGAAGCAATCCAGGGAGTTTTGGAATTGAAACATTAATGAAATCAAAATAAAAAATAGTCAAGAAATCCAGATGAAATTTCTGATGAAACTAATTGAAAAAGTATGTTGAAAGATATTCTTCCAGAATATTATAAAAAAATCTAATCAATAGAATATCTCAGAATTGAAGAGTTATCGTTGCAAATGGAGATAGAATTTATTAATTTATTATTAAATTTTATCATAATGAATTTGTTTAACAAATTTTTATTATTGTTAATTGTTATATGTATAGGCTGGATGATATTTATCACATGATCGATTATGTGATCAATTAAATTTCTACCATTTTACCAACTGATACTGCTGTTATTCGTATTCGTATATTCGTACCCCCGCATTTGTTACCTCCCCTGTAGTAAACCACGATCTACAATCACGTTAATTTATTAATTTTATTGCGTCATCCATTTGAAAAAATGACAACTAGAAAAGATCCTTCTGGATTTGGCGGATCAAAGAGTCATCAGTCCGGACATAATTCTCGCACTGGTCAATTAAAGAGCAATTGGAAATATTTAGCTTATTATTTTCATATTCTTTAACATTTCGTTTATGTGCTTGTAGAAATAAAATTATGCTTATATATTTTTCATAACGAATGGCGTAGTAAAATTGTGATTGTAGATCATCAATCACATGGTTTGTTACAGAGGAATTTAACAGCCGCATTTAAAAAACTATTCGAAATTAATTTTATACATACCGTGTATACATGCTTATAATCCTCGATTTACTTTGTATAATCTTAGATTCTACAAATATTTTTAATGAAATGAAACTTTAATGTAACTACAATAAAGTTCGTTATTTCAATTTATTTATTTTATTTTACGATTTTTGATAAAATTTTTTCAAAAAATATAAGATTCCTTCTAATTCATTTTGCGGTGAAAATAGGTCGCTGTTTGAGGCTAAATCATCGTTTTTTAAGGTAACAAATTTTATCATTACTTTTCACTTTGAAATGGGGTTAATGGACACGATCAAATTTTGATAACCTGACGAAACGAATAAAAACTTTTTCATTATTATTAATTTAACAAAAAGAAATTTTGATCATCATTTTTATTAGTTTACAACTATATTATAAGATACAATTAATAAAAAATACAAACATATACAATACAAATAATATAATATACAAAAAATATACTTTAGTGAAATACTTTAATATTTTGTAAAATTTCATTAACTTTCCTATGAAGTAAACCAATATCTCCAATATTTTCTTTATCATCATCTTCTTCTTCATTATCATTTTCATTATAATATTCATTTAAACTTTCGTCACTTCTTGAAATATTATCATCATCAATAGATTCAATATTAATATTTTCATATTTGTTAACAGGTTCTTTTACTTCTTTATAATTCAAAAATGAGTTCTCATCATCACCATCCCCTTTAAATGATAATCTAGTCTTATTCATCTTGCTTTCTAAATCCTCATATATTTTCTTTAATTCACGTTTTTTCACTATTCCTTCCCATGTATCATAACTTTTTGATTTACCTAAATAATAAATATATTCTGGTTCTGAAGGTGGATGAGAAAAATGTATTTCATCTAATGCTTCATAATCTGATATAAGTTCGGCACGATATCGTAATAATGCAACACGTCCCTTTTCAAATGCTTCAGCATACACAGCCCTGAGATTTTTTCAAATGAATTAATTAAAAATAAAAATAAAAATAAATAAAAATAAATAAATTTAACTTACCATATAAAGGCGATAAATATATTTTGTACGACAGTTATTAAGAAAAGACTACCAATCAAAGTTAATGCTTCAACTGCCCAAAAATTCCAGGTAGCTTCTTGTGGATAAGAACCACGTAACCAAGCATATGTTGAAAGAAATGATGTACCAAAATTTTTACTTGGATTATCAAGTTTTCGATTAAAATCTTGTACAGATGTGCTGATCGTTTCACCCGCACTATTTTGTATAGTATAGCTTGACGTCTTAGAAGTGATATCGTCAAGATCAGAAAAGTCCGTATGTTGTAATAAGAGTAAAAACACGTGAGAAAGCGCAAGGACAACCAATAACATGAAAACGACGAATAAATATGTCTTTTTTATAATATTTAATATAATGTAAAGATATTTCGCAGGTTCTAAAAATAATATGAAATTATTAATTTGATAATTAAAATAATTAAAATCAATTTACAAATAAATAAATAAATACATATATATTTACCTGAAAACAATCGAAGATATAGCATCTATTTTTTTTTTTAAAAAAAAACAAAAAAAATATTTTTTAGTCAAAATTATTAAAAAGTAAAGAAATATAATTTAAGAATACTTACGAATTCAAACCAAAGTAATAACATTGTAAAAGAGAAACCAGCAGTTATGTTTGATGTAGTCACAACATCAGCAAATGCATTTGATTTTTTAAAGCTAGGAGTAATATAAACTGATACCATAACTATTGAAGTAACAATTGAAGCTAAATCTACAAAATTGAAGAAATCTAGATAATATCTCCAACTATGATGTTGACACTGTCTACATTCTACCAAGAATAAGTAAATACCAGAATAATAAAATAGAATAAAAAGAAAAACTAAAAAGTTGCGTAAATGTCCAGTTGCTTCAGCATGACCTAAATAACATCCTACCAAAGCTGCGAAGCAAGCTGCGAATAAAATATACGTAACAAAAATTCTAAAGTAATAATTTCTTGTTGGAATCCACTTATAATTAACTGCAGCTTCCATCGCTGGATTATCAAATATATCATCATCATTTTCGTTTCTAACAATTTGAACAAGTGGACTACTAAGTTTTATATCACTTAAATATCCCCGAGGAATGAATGCATATTGAAAGACTTTTGATAAAAAATTTCTATTTTTCTGATTTTCTTGTCCTTTGCCCTTGCAGATAAATTTACGCAAAGGGATTATTTTTACAGTTGGAGAAAGTTTATCTGTACTTGAGAATATATTTGCGTAAAATTCTTTCAAATATAAACTAATTGATTTTTGTGTTTCGTCTTTTGAAATAAGTTTTGTATTTGGATTAAATGCTATAAGTTCTTGTGATTCTTTTACAGTAACTTCGATTTCTTTAGGTGTAAGATCGGTATAATCGATCACGTCGGATATCTCAACGCCTGAGATACATCTTTTAAAGAATATTTCTTTAATGAAGCTTTCTATTTAACGAAAAAAAAAAATTTAGAGACAATAATACTAGTTAATGAAAAAGAAAATAAAGAATAAAAGGATACAAACTTAGATTACATTTGTTACTTAAATCTGGTAACGCTTCCGAAACAGTAGATAGCCAACCGATGTGTTTAAGTGAGTTTTCCGTGTAGTATTCAAGTAAATAAGCGACAATTAAAGATCTACGGTTACACTCAAGACCTATTTAATTTTTAATTTTTATTTAAAAAGATGCAATTTGTATATTATTTATTTATTAAGAAATAAAATAAATTACCTTTTTTACATAAACGGATCGCGATTTGTAAATCACTTAAATTTTTTATTCTCGTCTCTCCTTTCTTTTCAATAGTTTCTATTTTAAATTTTTTTTCGTCTTCATTCTCCCATCGATTTATTTTAGGAATGTGTAAATTCCAATTCTTATCTTTTCCATCCCCAAATAAAATATATTTAATCAAAGTATTTGAACCTCCAATTATAACTTTTGCCATAATATCAAAACGTACATCCATTAATCGCCAAATATTTGGTTTATTTTTAATAAATCTCCAAATGATGTAAGATATACGATCTTTCATATCCTCAAATACATGTTGTTTTTTATTTCCAGCCAATTTGTTTCTTCGATAATTTAAATGTTCAAAAGCATCACAAGCATGTATTATTGGAGTCACATGATTATCACTATATGGCCATTTAACTTCAAAGAATTCATTATCCTTTAATTCGTCCCATCTAACCTTAATATAAAAGGATCTATCTCCAATATATAATTCATCAACTTTTAACGCACATGTTTCTTCTCTATTTGCTTTGACATTATTGGCCCAAATATATTCAAGTTCTACCTTTTTATTTCCAGCAATTTTACGCCACACTTGAATGGTACTTCTTCCGATAAACAATTGCGTAGTTTCTTCTTTATCAAGAAATACAGAAGTTCGATCATAAACATCTATCACCCATGGCTCTTTACTTACAAGTGGTTTTGTTTTATTTTGGGAATATAGTGAATATATCGTATGCTCATTTTTAGACTTAGAACATGACATTTTTCTAGGCGACTCTACTAATTTACTGTTATCATTATGAATAACTATGCTATGAATTTCTTTACCTTCTTCTTCAGGATCACAATTATTAATCAAACGATCAAATACTGAAGAAATATTTCCGTAAGTATCTACAGTAATGAGTTTTCCAGGAATTCTTGCAATAGAAGAAATATTTTCTTCATCCGTTACAAAATTAACTTTTCTTCCAGATTTAACATGATTACTTGTACTAAATAAATTCCAATATAAAATTTGACATTCCGATTCCGATTTTTGAACTATTACTATTATAGTTTTATCATTATTAATAAAATCACAAAATAATATTTTAACACCTTTTCCAAAATCTTCAGAAGCTATTTCTAAACCATTTTCTACAAGGAAAAGAAACAACTTTCCAAAACCGAACGAAAAAGCGATAATTTTTTCATCATTTGATCTTGCAAATATAGGAGTACCGAATTTTCTTAATGACTTTCTTACATGTGACTTTCTTACATGTAAATTAAAGAATTGTTTCATTTCCATAGTTCTTAAATCATACAACTGTAAAACTTGAGTACCTCCTTTATATTGTTCAATAAAAAAATAATGATCAAAAATACTATTAAATAATCTTGTTATACATGATTTCCTTTTATATAAAGTATTTAAATCATCTTGAAGCCTTTTTGGATAATAAAATTGTTTCATTCTTTTACCACTTAAATCATGAGTAAACTTTTTTCTAAAAATTCCTTTTACGTTAAAGATGAGACAATAAATATAATTCTTTTTATCATTATGAACGAAAATAACGATTCCACCAGGTAAATCACTACATATTCGTTCAGGTTTTGATTTTTGATTTAATTTTATTTTATAAATAACAGTATTTCCCTCATTAGCAGTAGTATCAGTAGTAACAATTTCAACCGGTTCAGGTTCTTTCTCTTCAAACTCATTAGAATTAGTACTAGTAAGATTTTCATTATTAAGATTTTTCTTGCCAGGACTTGTCGTATCAGATTTTGTAACACGAGATATGGCCACCAAGACTTCTTTTTCGTTTAGAGTATTTGTAATTGAATTCGAAATTGCTATTATCCATTTAGGATAATCATTTTTAGATTTTTCTTTTTTAAATCCGGATTTAACATTATAAGATTCTTTTTCGTAAGAATCATTTATATTTTTTATAGGAATAATTTTAAATTCAAGTTCATCTACAAATGAGAGTCAACGAAAAAAAAAATTAATTTTGGAAGAATGGATGATTTTCCAACACTAAAAAATATAATTTTAACTTACCATGATCAAACATAAGAACGTTCTCACCATCCGGACTAATAGATATATGCCAATTAGCTTCTTGTTTAGAAGTTAGAACATCTAATGGTTTTTCATTCGTTTTTTTTGGACTTGAAATTTTCGGTATCGACCTTTCGACTAATAATATAGTAATATAAAATGAGTTTAATAAAATGAGTTTAGAGCAACATTTTATATACAATACTTACGTGGAATGAATATTCCTCCAATTAAATCTGATTTCTGGTATACTGCAAATAAAATGATGGAGAATGAGAAAAAAAATTAAATAAGCCAATATGTGACGATAACGAATGATGATTACCTTCAGAGACAGAAGTAGTTGAGGATGTTGAAGGAGTTTGAACAATATACTCCTTATCTGACATTTTTATATAAGAGTGTATGTATATACAGTATATATATATATGTACGTTATGAAAAATCAGATATATTATTTATTACGAGTATTTATTATTATTGTTACAAGTTTTTAATGAAAAATTAAACAAGATGTTTTTTTACGAGTATTTATAAGAAATTAATTTTTTCCATTATAATAAATAAATAAATATATATATTAAACATACGTAGAGTCGTAGAGTAAAGTTTTTATTATTAATCATTAATAAATAAATAAACAAAAATCTCCTTAAATTATTGTTGTCTTTTCCTATAATATTAATTATTTCGTATATTTTTGCTTTCCCTTTTCGAGTAATTATTAAAGGTTTTGATTATTTCCATAACTAATCAAAGAATATAAATAAAGAATACGCATATAACGTTTTAATAATAAGCAAGTTGATAAATAAAGAACCGGGTTTCCTTATCTGTCATTTATAATAGTCTAAATTAATAATGATCGACACGGATTTTTTTTTTTTTTTTTTAAGGTTTCCATTAAAGCATTCTAAAGACTAATTTTCAATAATGGCTGAAATTTTTACATATATGTCATTTGGAATTACTGTTTCTAGATTCGAATATTTAATCTTTTGCATCAAGACTAGTCAAAAAATAATGAGAAAAATGAAATCACACTTACTTTTAAAAATCTTCATCGGCAAAGAATTGCATATTTTTTTTGCGTAACTTTCGAATCGAAAAGAATAGAAGCATAAAGTACAACCTTGTGAAATAATTTTATTTCTAATTTTAAATTGTCCTTTAAAAGTTAATTATGTTAGTTTTCCAATCAATTCATTCACAATTGTTACATTAAAAAATATTTGATCTATTAAATTAATAATAATAAATGATCTAATCGGACGTTTATCTCCGTTACAGTTTACACGAACATTATTGTCCTTATTCAATCGGAAACGTGTCACCTATCGAAATTAGTTAAGGACTTATAGAAACTTCTTTATACTTTTTTAATTGTAACACAACGCTTCTGAAATTCTTTATAACAAAGATATAAAATAAAGGCGACCTTTATTATCATTACTACATTGTTGCTTAATTCAATAAATATAGAGTTACATAATTTAGTATTCTGATACTCAATGAACTTTAGTGTAACATTTGTATCAATCATTATTATGCATGGTATCATAATACAAAATATAAATATCTTGTTTGCCTATTAAATTTTTAGAGAGATGGAATCCAACTTTAGATCAGTCATCAGTGACTATACAACATTGTGTGCAATTATTATCATTATTGTTGTTTAATAAAACTTTAATCTACACTATTTTTGAATAGTTATAATTTACATTCTTGTTCCTACGCATCATTATAACATTTATATATGCTTGTGAATAAATATTCAATTTCTTTCCAATTTCAAAGATCGTGTAACTTTCTTCTCTGTATTTCTTAATAAATGAATTATTCATCTTTGAAGTACAGTATGTGATTGACGCCCGAATTTCTTAAACAACCATAAATTATTAATTGTTCAATGAAAGGTATAAATTGTAAAATCGTCCCAAATCTCGATATGGATTCGTCCCAAACTCAAAATGATTGAGTTTCAGGACTAGACCAAATTAATATATGATATAATCCCCTGATCGGCACGATGAAAATGTAGTTATAGCAATTTTAATTTAGATAGATTTGCATTTCCAAATGAGAAATATTTTCTCTTAATTTATCTACTCATCTGTAATATCAATATTATCTTTCAAGTATAGTCTGAAGTTTTTTATTCATTTTTAAAGTGGAAAATTAGAAGAAAATAGAATTCAGCAATAAAATATACGATATTTATACGAAAATGGCAGAGGATAACTGATGCTTAGTACGTTGTGTGGTTAAAAAATCATAATTAAGGAGTTTGTGAAAAATTCTCATTGTAAAAAGGAAATTTATTACTTTACTAAAATTTCCCAAAAAGAAGGTGAAGTTTATATGCATTCTTTAGATCTTTCCATAAAACATTGTAAGTTTAAACTCAAAAAGTCTTTAATAAAATCACAGAAATGCTGTACTCTTCCAATGAAATTTGTAGTATGTCATCAGAAGCATGTACTGCGTCTATCACATGGTACAACTGAAAGTTTACCTCTAAATATCCACTCAGCATGAATGTATTAGATGAATGTATTTTATCTCCTAAAATCTCGTTTGCCCATAAATAAATAACAACTATGCTACTATTTGTACTCCTCTCCCTAACATTTAAAGTTAATCAATAATGATAAACCTTAATCTTAATCTTTACGAATTCAATAGAAATACTAAATCAATACCATCGCGATTGGCTGTCATTGGATCACGCAATGACACATGACAATAACATGACAATAATCATTCAACATTTACTTCTCCAGAATTATAAAACAGTGAATTACTTTTTAAATACAATTCGAATAGTTTTATGTAGTATGAGTGAAATGATTAAAGAGTATTACAGATCAGCCGATCAGAAGCATGGTACATACCGTGTTTGTTTATGATGATGATGAATTTGATGTCATATTAGGTACAACCACGCGTTTTGAAATTTTCAAATATTTAAAATGAAATCTTAGGAAACACTATTTAGAAACGAACCTGATTAAAAAAAATGCGATCCCTGAATATGTTTCTCTCGTTACCGACAGTTCACTGAACGGAACGCTATGTTTAAAGGGACTTTAATGTATGTATAGATAGTTGCACATTCCGGGTTCACATTACACTCTCGGTTCAAATAGTTATTTGTCAAGGTACGATATTTCTTGATTTATAAATTTATTGTTTGGTTTTTTATCGTGAAGTTCTTTAAGCTTTTACTTATAAGTATTCATCGCGAATACAGTATTTCTGTGTAAATAATGTGACGATAATTATAATTCAAAACTCAAAACATTTCGCCTTCTCTGCTTCGTATGGATTAGTGTTCATAGTATAAAGTATTAGTTCAGTAATTTGGTTGAGGGTGAAAAGGATAAAGCCGGGTTTAACGAAATCGATGAGTTTTAAGGCAAAAAGTATTTTATATATCATCTTTAATTTTTCTTTTGTGTTTACACTAGATGTAATTTATTAGATGTAATTTATACTAATAAGTCCTTAAATGTACTTGTAGGGAGGTAAATATTATATATTAACACGTTCAAGAACGAAGCATCATTCTCGGTGAGATTTCAATGTCAACGTTCTCATTATTAATATGTACTTCATCACAAAATCTGGTTTTGATTTGACAGATGAGAAGAAACAATAACATATCAATAGTGCGGAAGTTAATAATTTTTTGTACCTTTTCTGATTTTACATAGAGAAGAGAAATAGAAGAAACATCTATATTCATGTAAGCTATTTAGTATCTTAATTAATAAAAATAACAACAGTTCTTTGTTATTTTTTTCCATATGCGTGACAAACTATACTAAATCAATTGAACCAAAGAATTACCGTGTATAATTATTAATTTATTTTATTTTATTTAACTTAACTAACTGTTAATTCGTAATTTATTAGCGTCATCGTAAAGAATAGTCATCTTTTAATAACGAGCACCCCAGATTTACTTTTAATGAAATTGAATTGATGTTGTAAGACCATCAATCAAAATGGATATAACGATTTATTTGCCCTTTTGTGATAACAAATAAGGTATTATATTGTACGAATTATTATTTAAGTTTAATTATAAAATCATTAACTAGTTTTATTTAATTATCAAGTATGACCATAAGTTTTCACTCAAGCTCTCGAATGAATTGAATATAATTGTTTATGATCTTTTTATGATCTTGAAGAAAATTGGAATTAGATCTTTATAAAACGGATGCGTAGATTTACGAACGATATAATTTTGAGTCTTCTCATTATCTTAATCTTGGAAATAATAATTTATTTAGTGGAGGAGAATATTGGTGTTTGGTGAGTCTGAGCGTTTTATTTAATTAATGAATGCTTTCATGAGAAGGGGTAATTATTTATGCTACTTTAAATAATTAATTCGTTATTATGTTCACTTTTATTCGCATAATTTACTATTATTTATCTATTTATTAGGATATAATTAAGAACACACAGTATAAAGAACGCATCACGTGATATTATTAATAACATGCCAATGCGGCAACGTCGAGTATTAAGGTAATGTAATCGATGACATGACAATATCTGCAAAAATTTCAAATCATTTAATTAAACATTTTTTAAATTACAGAAATTATAGAATCTTAAGATATGGTATGATCTTTTGATGAAGTAATCAAGAACAAATTTTTTGAAAATTATATCAGTTTTTTTTCCAATATGTTAAGATGGTAGGTTTTTATAATTTACCAGTATATCACCAACATAATAATAAATTTTTTACAAGATATTTAACTCTTTCATTAAAATCAAAACAATTATAGATCAATAAGAGTTTTTTTTTTAAACTCAAAAATTATGACCAAATAAAAGTTATTTTAGATCATTTTATTTGATCTATAATGATCTATCACAATTCGCGAGACCGTCTATCTGAAATATTGAGAGGAACCAATGATTTAATAATCGCATTGTGATTCATGAATGAAGAAAGTCTTAATGCTTACGTTCATTTTGTTGGAATAAATACGAAAATTATGTCGTAGAATTGTTTCTCAATATTTGGGACCACCTTTAGACATTCGCCGGCCACAAATTTAAAATTCCTAAACATCCGAAGAGATTAGAACTTGATATATCATATCCAGAATATGGTTTTGATTGAAGTGCAATGTCCTCAACATGAAGAATACATCGAATTCTTCCGCGAAGAATTGGATTGCCAAGATATATATAGTTAATTCGAGAGTCATTCATTATTTATTCGACTATACAGTAACTTTATTTCATCCGGAATTACACGAAAAATCGAATAAAAAAAACTCTGATATACATCACAATTTAGAAACCAAACAAATTATTGTTTATATACAAAGCAAAGTTTTTACCACATAAGATTTTCATTTTACTGAGCCATATTAACCAACATTAACTCCATCGATATCTGGATATAAAAAATGGTCGACAGTTAATACATGCAGTATCAGAAATAACTTTAGCTAATAGTGTTAAACCTTCCAAAGTTTTCGAAAATTATGAACGAAAAAATGTATTAGTTTGCAAGTTCAGAAGTTGCTTCCAATCAGTCAATCACGATATCTATCGACAAAAACGATCATTCGTGAGGGTGCAACTATGCTGAAGTTTTCGCGTCTGTTCCAAGCATTGGCGGTGAAGTTATGAGTCAGTGGATATCTTGATAGCCATCAGCCTCAATCATTTTTTATTAAGAAAAATTATATTTTACGAACATCACAAGGGAACTTTATTATTATCAAGGAAAAACAGGCCAGTTAAGTGATGATTAGTTCTTTAAAATCGAGAGTTGAAATGTATGACATGTTTCCAAGAGAGGGAGTACGCGGATCCTAGACCATATAATGCGAGTCCCTGCGTCATATTATTTCTTTGCTCTCTCAGGCTTCTTACAAATTTCTACAATTAACTTGTTTCTATTTATATCTCTAACTATAAAATCTTATTCGCACCCGTAGATTTTGTTATGAGTACGTAATAATCATTGCGTAATAGTGAACTCGATTTCTCAAGATTAATCAAAATTAGTCATTTTGAGTCCATTTTATTTATATTTTTTTTTTTATTTTTTTAACTCATGATGAACTTACTAATTTATTGATTGCACAATGATTCGTCTTTTACCACGCTTTTTTCGCAGAATCTCATCACCTAATGCTATTAATGTTCGCAAAACCTCAACTACTACATCCAATGATTCCACATATGGTAGATTAAAAGAATTGTATAAAGAACATAATGAAAAAGAAAAGGAAACTATTGAGACACTGATTGATACCATCAAAAGAAATAAGGATTATACTTTAGTAAGTACATCCCTTATAAAACTATATAAATTTGCTTTATTAAAATAAAATTAACATATCTTGTATTAATTTATTAAGTATAGTATTATTGAAAGTCGCATTAGAGTGGCAGAAAAGAAGATTATTTATGTTATCATTGGTGCATTTGTTCTTAATTGGTTGAATTCACGTTCTGGCAAATGTACTAAACAACATGCTACTTTGGATGAGGACCGCACTAAAAGCAAGTGAATTTAAACAATATGCTACATTACTTCAAAGAAATGGTTTAATTAGTTTTGATTTCTTTACTTTATTATTTACATGATAGTGTAGTTGAAGAAAATCTTTAAATTCATTATACGTTCCAATTCTAGAGATTTCTTTGTTTATTTGCTAATGTTCTAAATGTATAGCTAAAAAAATAAATTTTGATTTTATCATGTATATGTGATGTGAATGAACAATTTCATAAAAATAAGGGTAGTGGTATTTATTTTATTGCCTTAAGTTATGATCATTTAAAATCGAAACTCTGTTAAATAATATATTATGCTAAATTTTATGGCAGTAATAAAACTGCATTTATAATAATCACAATTTTCTTGTAAACATCAAATATTATAAAAGTTAAGAATAGTAAGAATATATAATAAAATGCATTCTTCATTAAGACGAATAATTTCAAATCCATCTCTTAAAATCAGGGGCGTGTAGGATAAGAAATTTTTAAAATCTTTTTAATTCTGGCTGAAATTAACATAAACTTTGTTTCTATAGTATAAATACTGTATATTTTTATACTTCTATAAAAATAAAAAAATAAAACAATTTTGTAATAAATTTTATTATTATTTTTTTGTTAGTTTAATTATTAATATAATAATATTAATATAAATGATAAAATAGTTAAAAAAAAAAATAAATAAGAATAAAATAAACTATATAGTTTTTTGATTAATTAAAAGAATTAATTAAAAATTTTTAAATTTTAATATTAATTAAAATTAAACTTATTTTTTAAATTACTTTTTTTAATAATGAATATTGCAATATTCTTATTTTTAAGTTTTAAAAGAATATATATATATATGTAAAATTTAAATAATTATATAATTATTTTTTTTTATTATTTTGTAATTAACTAATAATATTTATCTGTTATACTAATTATGCATATATATTATATAATATAAAAAATTATATATTTATATAAAAATTAACTGGTAATTAATTAAAATTTACCTAAAATTATCTTTCTTAAATGGTAATTATTTTATTTTATTAAATATATTTTATGATATTAAAATTCAAAATTTTATCATTTTTTAATAATTATATAAAAATAAACTTAACTAGTAGTATATATTTGCATTTAAAAAAAATATTATATTTAAATAATTAAAATACAATAAAACTTTTAAATTCAAAATTTTCTTTTTAAATTTAAAGTACTTTTTATTTTTTAAAAATTAGAAATAATAAGAAATATACAGTATTTGCTAATAATTAATTAATATTATATAATAATTATATATAAATGTATTTATAAAAAATTATAAAAATATCTTATTATAATGAATTAAATATATTGTTTAATTCATTATAATAAGATATTTTTATAATTTTTTCTTAAATTTTTTATTTATTTATTTATTTATATTGAATTTTTAATATTTTATAATATTAATATATTTAATTTTATATTACATACAATTTATATATATATAAAATTTATTCCATTTTTATTTTTTCAAAAATTTTTTTTTATAAATAATAAAAACTCTATTTAATAAAAAATTATTAATTAATTAAATTAAAAAGTTATTAATAAATTATAATTAATATATATATTATTAATAATTAAAATTATTAAAATTATTAAAATTATTAAAATTTATTTTATTTATTAATTTTTTTATTGAATTGGTTCAAATTAGCTTAATTATTATTTTAAGCTAATTTTCTAAGTTTTTTTAAATTAAACTTGTTAAATTTAAATTTTTTTAAACTGATTTAAGCTAATTTATTAAATATGCCAATATGGCTTAATTTTTTTTTTTTTTTTTTAAAAAAAAAATATTTTAAACAATACTTTTTAAAAAAAGGAAATTTTATAAAACTAGCTAATATATAACTAACAAAATATTTTTTTACTTTAAAACTTTTGTTTTTTAATAAAGTTTCTAATTAATATATTCAGTTTTTGCAAAAAATTAAAATTTAAATTTAAAAGTTGGTATAATACAAAAAATTTGATAAAAAGATTAAGATCATTAGAATTTTTTAGATATAAATATTTTTTTTAGTAAAAGCATCTTTCTAGTCACCTTCATAAATATCAAAAGGACAGGTATACTTTCTTTTCTTTAATTATAATGGTAAAAATGGATAAGATTAACAGGAAAAGATTCTGATGATTAAATAAAACTATTTTTAATATAGTATACTTATATATATATATATAATTAATACTATTTAGTAATTCAATATTTTTTATTTGATAGCTCTTAATAAAATAATATATAAGGTATGTTGTATCACCTGATTGCAGTAGCGAGGAACTGTCATCAAACCTTAAAATCCTGCTTTCCATTATTTTTACACATAGCCGCTTGGCTCTTTTTTTATATTTCATACTCACATTAAAGAATTTGCTTTAAATTTTTGTACAAGATTTTATGACGATTAAATTCTTAAATTAATCGTCACATAATATTTATTTATATTTATGCATGGTGTACAATTAAGCCTTCTTAGACGTGGAGTATAGTATTACGAAAATATGCGAACCTACTACCTACTATAATACTATTATGTAATATATAGCAAAAACTATTGTATGTGTCAAATACTATTACAATTGTTATAATACAGTTCACCCTCTCTATAGCGAATTTTTTACGTGAATAACTTGATATAATGAGGAAAAGTTCAGGTACAGATTTTTATATATAATAAAATGACCCTCAATATAATGAATTTCTCACTATAACGAATTTTAATCTCCAGCTCATGGATAGTGAGGGTGAACTGTACACTTAATACACTATAATTGAAAATTGTAATACCTCATATTTATTAAGCTTGAACCGCGTTTTTAACAAATATAAAAATATAACTATGAGTATATATCATCTATGGCAAATACTTAATTTTGTTTACGAAGAGGATGTTATTTATGAAGAGGATCTTAATGTTGCAGAGGTAATATAACACGCTCTCAAATTATCTGTTTATACTATTTGTATATGTATTTATAAAATACGAGTTAGAAGCTAAGATCCGTATAATAGAATTGGCTAACATTGAAAAAGAATGTGAAAAAAATTATAATTTATTATAATGGCACGGAATGCTTTTTTAAAAATTTTTATTTTAATAAAAGGTCGTACTATTGAAATATTGTATACAGTTTATTATTGGTGTAACGTATTCAACACCTGTTTTAGCACTGTACTGGGACCAGACTCCATCTCACCTGCTACAATAGACTGTGCGACTGAAAAAAATTTCAACATTCCAAACGAGGCTAAAAACGAAAATCATTGATGTATTGCGCAATTGAAAGATCTTTATTTTTTTTGATTACATCATAACATTGATCAACAAATATAACAGTTATACTAAAAACACTAAGCTATAAGTTATTTTTTTTTTTACTAGATCGAATATACGGTTTCATGCAAATCTAATGCTAATTTTTCATGATTTAGTTTTTTAGGATACCACTTTCTCAGGTTAAGTACTCTAATGCAGGTATAAATTAAAATTAATACGCCAAATCCAGCTGGTATTAACAGGAACTTTGGATTAAGCGTATGACTTGTTAAAAATGCAATATTAAGCGGTGGAATATATACAACACATATAGCAAATGTAAAACCAAGAAATACTCCAATAAAATTACGAGGGTTTGTGAACATAAATTTGCCAAACGGGAGCCGATGTTGAGCTTTACAGGCAAATAGATTAAACACTTGTTGAATCATAATAGATAAATATACGATAGATTCTGCTTCAGCGGCTGCTCTTATTTGATCCTCCTTAGTTATCTCCTGATTATAAACATTCACGTAAGACTCCGCATTTGAAGTGAAATAATTTTTTTCAGATGCTAAAGTTTGCATATTTCGTGCATCGTATGGAGTAATACCATTATAATTTAATACGGCGAAGTATGCAACAATACAGCCGATAGATTCTATAATACCAACTTCTAAATATGCCCAGCTGAGAATGGTACCGTCAACTAACACTTCCCCTTCAGTACCCTTTAATAGTTTTAGCCACCATCTTGCCGTAAAAGGTTTTTTTAGCGAACGTAAAAATAATGAGATTTTGGAAGGAGTTACAGGTTGACCAGTTTCCAGGTCAGCGATAGATGGTGTACGGTTAAGAGCATTGAGACGTAAACGTTCTACTGATTTAGGAGTGACAGGTTTTCTAGGGTGTATTTTCATAAGATCCTTTTTGCTTTCTGGTTGGTCCCAAGCATATGAAAGAACTACAAATAATTCATAACCTAAATCCGTTATCAACACAAGAAGTGGTGACAGAGGTAATGGGAGTGGTACAGTTATATATAACAATGAAACTACAACTTCAGGAGTTATATGAGATAGCGTGTATTGGATTGACTTTTTAAGATTTGTAAAAATGAGGCGACCTTCTGCAATACCCTTTACTACAGATGCAAAGTTATCATCAATTAAAATCATAGATGCTGCCTCCTTGGAAACATCAGATCCGGATTTATTCATGGAAATCCCTAAATCTGCTTTCTTTAAAGCAGGCGAATCGTTCACACCATCGCCAGTTACTCCAACAATATGACCCATGGATTGTGCACGTTTGACAATATCAAGTTTATGACGAGGAGAAGTACGCGCAAATATAATTTCTTGTTTAGAAAAGATTTTATCCCAATCTTCTTCGCTTAAAGAATCTATTTCTTCACCATGAATAACAATGGCATGATATTCATTATCTCCAATTGATTCAATAGGTCTATCAGATTTTTTAGCAATGATTGATTTGGTATCTGATGTCATTATATTAGTTCTGCGAGCAATAGATTCAGCGGTTAAGGGATGATCGCCTGTCACCATAATTACCCGAATACCGGCTTCACGACAAATTCCAATAGCTTCACGAACACCATGTTTTGGAGGATCTTCTAATGAACATAATCCAATAAAACAATAACCTCCCAACGGATAATTATTTTTTTCTTTTTCGAATTTAAAGTTTTCAGGATATTGTTCACTTGATAATAATAATTGTGCAAGAGCCAAAACTCTATGTCCTTTTGAAGCCATATATTCATATGCCTCATCGTATTTTTTTCTATGTTCATCGGCTAAAAGTATAACATCTTTCCCTGATAATATTGTAGAGCAAAGATTTAGTACTCGTTCAGGTGCTCCTTTAATGTATAAAGTTAACTCTCCATTATCATGCTTCTTTTTGTGAATTGTTAATGCCCATTTTGTTTCAGAGTTGAAAGGAATTTCAAAAATTTTTGGATAGTTATTGACAAGGACGTCATAATCATTTACGTTTTGAGCTGCAAAGCGTAATAACCCAGTTTCGGTGGCGTCACCAAAAATTTCACGTTCAGAAAATGGAATGTCGGTACGATTAAACTTAACTCGGGAGCATAATGAAGCTATATGAATGATCTCTTGGATACCGGGTGCATTTGGATCAAAAGGAAGAGCATTCTCAGATTGTGCGTTTTGATGTAAGGAATATACATTTAAGGAAGACCAAATATGAGCCACAGTCATTTTGTTTCGAGTTAAAGTACCAGTTTTATCTGTAGCTAAAAGAGTAATTGCTCCTAGTGTTTCGACAGCCTCAAGATCCTTGACAAGAACATTTTGTGCTGCCATTCTTTTTGCTGCTATAGTTAAAAGAATAGTGACAGTTGCCGGCAACCCTTGAGGAACCCATGCAACAAGTATAGCTATAGCAAAACTCAAATTGAGAGCGAAATTGTTAACTATCGCAAAACTAGCACCAAAAAAAATTATAGCACATAAAGTGGCAATCACTGTTATGATTTTTACAAATTTATTAGTTTCTTGTGCTAAAGGAGATACATTCTTTCCTTCTCTTGTAGTAAGACCGGCAACTTGGCCCAATACGGTAGAATCGCCAGTTCTGATAACAATGCCATAACCTTCACCCGATACAACAATTGTACCGCTAAAGCAAAGATTAGAAGCCTCCAATGGGTTCTTATTGGTGCTTGTTGTCTTTACCCTTTCTTGTGGTTCCGATTCACCAGTAAGGGTTGAATTATCTACTTTCATATCGACTGCGGTGAACATGAACAAATCGGCAGGAACTTTATCTCCCATCTTAACAAAAACTATGTCACCAGGAACCAAATTAGATGCTTCGATTTGTAAGAGTTTACTTTCCCTAAGAACATGACATTTTTGTGGAATCATATGCAAAAATGATTCTAAAATTGAGGCAGATTTCTTCATCTGATAATATTGTATATAAGCATTTAAAAAAGCTACGCCAAATAAAATAGCTCCAAGGTAAGTCTGTGAAAAATGAAATTAAATATTATTTACAGATTTTAAAAATAAAAACATTATTAATTATTTAATAAATAACATACATTAGATTGATTATTCTTATAATCAATAGCGAGTACAATGAGCGTAAAAGCACCCGAAATCATTAATAATATATTAAATAAATTACTTAAGCACTCAAGGTATTTCAAAAATGGATGTTTCTTGGGAGGAGGTGTGAGAACATTTGGACCATCTTTCATTAATTTTTCAACTTCTTTCGTACTCAGCCCTCGCGACTCCGCAGGTTTATAGGTATCAATATCAACGCGATATCGCTTGGCAATTTCTTCGGGTTTATACAAATGTTCATCCTATATTGTGTTACCTACACGATTAATAAATAAATCATAAAATTAAAAACATGCTTTGATATTTACAATGTCTATATTTTTCTCGCTTCCGTTATATTCTTCCTTTTCGTCATTTAACTCCGTAGAGAAACGTTTCTTGCTGATAGAATTTTTTTCGAAATTTTCAGCTTTTATCTGATCACTTTCTATTTTTTCTGACATAATTCAAATATTTGAAAAATATAAGTATATATTTCAGAGAGAAGAGAAAAGAATTTTTTGACGGATTTTTATATATTATGATCTTTTCATCTTTCCATTGTGCAATTTACGATTATCTTTTTTTTTTTTTTTTCTTGATAGCACCTATCCATTAGCTTTATTAGGTATGATCTATAAACTTTACAATGTATGATTTTCTACGTGGATCTTCTGAAGAATTTCGATATTACCATATAAGCGTCAGATTTCCATCAAATAAGGTGCAAGGGGTCGATATCGATATCCAAATGAAATACATTTTATGTGCGACTTGATAAATAATTTTTTACGATTACAAAATTTGTACACATATCAGATATCTTTACAATGTATGATTTTCTACGTGGATCTTCTAAAGAATTTCGATATTACCATATAAGCGTCAGATTTCCATCAAATTCCGTGCAAACAGTTGAACTTACCCAGGAATATTGCACATGGTCGATATCGATATCCAAATGAAATACTTTTTATGTGCAACTTGATAAATAATTTTTTACGATTACAAAATTGTACACATATCAGATATTGAAATAGCGTTTTCATTATAGAAATAAATATATTAGGTTATACATACAGTATTTGACTCATCACAGTACACTATTGGGTTACCCTAAGCTTATTAGTTAATCATTCCCATATCTGATATAAATTTTTCTTTGGAAATTTCTCTATGATGAATTCTAAGATTCCAATGCGAATTGAGAATAATCTTCAAGATGTATATTTTATAGCATACAATCGGCTCGCTTTATAACGAACTCATATTATACTGAATTTTACAGTAACGATTTTAAAATAAAAAAAATCTCGTTATACCGAATATTAAGTGCTATATACCGTATAATAGATTTATTGGGGGAGTAGCCATTTTATCATAGCAGCGTTGCACAATTATGTTCAATTTTGATATGTCAATAACAAAACAAAATATGAATGTTTCCTATACATAATTTTAATTCAGATACTAATTCTAACAGTTAATATTAGATAGCAACCACACTTAAATAAGATGGATGAAATAAATGACTTGATATATATATATATTTGATAGAATCCATTTGATATTTTATTTGAAAATTTTTTAATATGATCCATTCGATAGTTTTTTTGATATGGTCCATTTGATAGTTTTTTTGATAACTGAAGGTCCATGTGAAAAAGCGAACACTACATATCTTTAAAGTCCTTATTTAAATCTCAGACTATTTTAAATCTAAATAATTAAAACCATTTTAACTTGCTACTTGAAATGTTTGATAATCGTATTAATTACCATAACAATAAATTAAATTTAATACAAAGAGAATTTTCTTTTTGGAACAATAGTTTTTTTAAGATAAATTTTTTATAAAAAGAGAAAAAGATAAATCACAAATAGGGAAACGATTTCCATTTAGAATAAACTAAAATGGTATTATGGTTTGAAATCTAATCCATAAAAATACTAAAAAAATACGCCCAATTTCTCATTTCAAAGATATTGATTGTCAAAATTAATGCATTTCAGGTCAGAGAATTTGTCGTGTTTTAATTAACGAAGATATTTTGTGTGACATACGGTGTGTATTATACAATATACTAAACTTTTTATTGCCGAATTTTCAGGCCTGATTTCCTGTACAAAAAATTAATTTATAAGGAGAATCAACTGTATATCATCATCATGCTTATTTACGGGAACTAAAATCCAATACTGCGATTACTTTTAAAATAGGTAACATTCATATAATCATTCAGATTTCGAAAAAAAGTATAGACCATACTGGTAAAGCTCTAAAGCTAATAACGGAATCATACCCAAATTTGAAGTATCTCAATATATCCGCTATGTGTAATATATTTCGATCAAAAAATGATATAGGTATATCTGCAATCGCAAATTCATGCCATAAATTATCGTTCTTGCTCAAGGCTCCAGCATCTTAACCTTAGCTTTTGTAAAATTACCGATATAGCTATCAAAGAGATTGCTAGATCATGCCTTAATTTAAAATATCTTGGCCTAGAGGGATGTGGTAATATTAGCAAAGAAGCTGTAGATCCAAATATCCATGTCGAGAATTTCGTGTCGCCTTCTAATTTTATTAACACATTTTAGTGATTATCTTAGACAGGCCATTATTCCAATCAGAAATTAGCGTAGTCTCCCGATGACAGTGTTATGGATTTCTCTATTATTACTCAGAATATGGTGCGTTTCATCTATGCGATCTAACTAGTGATCACCAGAAAAATTTTTTTGCTGTACCACAGCACATATGACATACCCTTGCGTAATAAAAAAATGCACTTTATTCTGAATTTTTTACAAAAACTCCATGCAATTGCTGAGGAGAGTCTTTTGGAAATAATGGGAGCAAGTCCCTCTCCAGTAAAATAAAACATTTTTACTCCCCTATTGATGAATTTCTGTATTAACACACTTGGAACATCTAAAGGACCGTGGAATTTCTCAAATTTTTGGTGATATACTTTTGCAATTTTATCAGCTTCTTCTGCCATTTCTTGATTAGTATAACCAACAATACCGAGTTGATGAGCCGCTGCTAGGATGTGATTGCCATCGATCCCTGTATTGGTATCCCAAATCTAACAACAACTCATATGAATCATCGATTACCCCAGCGTACCCTTCAAAAATGTCACGAAACGGCCGGCATTAAGAAATTAAGAAATTAACTATGTGACGAATAAGGGTGACGAATAAGTTTTTACCTACTCGAAAAAAACAGATACTTAGAAATAAGGAAGGGTGTGACGCATGTGACAAAAAACAGTCACGTGAATTTTCGTGAAGGATAAATCCAAAAACCCCTGCTGCGCCCTCGGGAATTAAAATTGACTAAGCTTTTTCCCTAAAAAATGTCGCCTTTATTGTTGCTTTATTTGCATTGCCGTTAATACCGAGTTTTTCCTGAATAACTCTTATATCCTTCTTCTTATATAAAAGCACTTCATATAATTGAACTAGTGTTTCGCTTTGATCAGATTTTTTATTATTAATATGATTGCGTTACCAGAGGTAACCTATATTTAATGCGGAAAATTTCGAGTCCATCATCGGATGCGAAAAAAATGGGAGTAGATTTATCTTAACTAATACCTTGTTAGCTCCCTATATTGATATCTGGATTATTGCATCTTTACTAATATTCTTACAACACTGTAAACCAAGATATTTCAGATTGATACAGTACTGCGCTATTGCTTCGATGGCTGTATCAGTAATAAGTCTACAGCATCTAACAAGAACGGGCAATATCACAGATAGATAAATCAGAAATGGCACAGCCACCAATATCAAGGTACGTATCAAGGTACTAGAGTTTTTTACAATAACGTGCAATAGCACAGATAGATAAATCGCTAATGGACCTACAGCAATCTAGTCTAAGGTATTTTAGATCTTGATGCAGCCTTGCCATTTCCCCAACAGCAGTATCAGTAATGTTATGACAACTTGTAAGAGAGAGATACCAAAGATTAGGACACGACTGTGCAATTGCGAGTATGGTATGAATGATCAGTAATGGGCTTGAATCTTTTTAATCCGCTATATTCTAATTCATGAGATACTCGTGCAATTTTACATACGAATTCATCAGTGATACTTCCACAGAAACTAATACCTACGACACAATTGTGCAACCTTGTATATATTGTATATAGATTATAGATTGACCAGTTATATCTTGATTACCACGAATATTGAATATTTCATTAACGAGTATCGCACCAGTAAAACCTTTACTTTGTTCGAAATCTAGATGAACTATTTTGGGTATGAATCGATAATTTTTCCAATTTTAGAATCGGTCGACTAAATTGAACACGTGGTGTGGCATTGCTAATCTTTCCGCGAATCCAGTTTTTCTCACGTGATATATGTAGTTAAATAATCAGCGCTTTTTTTCCAGGAGCCGATCACAAACGGTACGGTCTATAGTCTTTTTTTTTCCCGAACAACCATGAGAAAGATGTGAAAGAGTGCTTAGTTGCAACACAGGACCTACTATATAACTAAATAGTGACGACAAAAGCATATGCTATGAAGGGCTGAGGACTTCGCAATTTCGAGATCGCCAGGCGTTAGTCTTTCTGGTAGAATTGGTCCCTCTCCATGTGAAGAGGTATGAAGATTTCACATTAATGTGTTTTCATAGAACTCTTTGCATCATACGACAATGCCACTCTTCTTATCTCCTTATCTTTTTCCCAGCAAGATATAAAACGTGTAGGAGTATGTGGAAGTTCAGCCAACTTTCCCGCAAAAATCATTCCCGTAAAAATAACGCAAAAATAAGGTATGCATGGGAGCGAAATTTTCTCACTATGGGCCTGTATTTAGGAAAGCAAGATGTTTACCACTGAAAATGATATTTATAAGTCTTAACTTCCGCTTCCTTAATGCAGAAAATAAGAACATAATTTTCGCGATTGAGATTTCTAAGGACAAACAAGTCTTTGAACTTGAAAATGAAGTGTAGAAAGAAGTTGAGGCCAATCGATCGTAATGACTTCTTCCGTCAAATTAATCCTAAGGAGAAGCCTATGCGAACAGAAGTAACGTGACGCCTGATGATGAAATATTTGTATCATGTAAAATCGCAATTTTTATTATGTATTATTGTCCGCTTCCGGCGATAGGCACCATTCGTCAGTTTCCACCAGTAAGTTTAAATATCGCATAGCCTCGGAATTTATACGCAGACGCTTACTCCTCTCAATATTCTAGGCGACCTATAGACTTGAAGACGACGAAGAAGAATTAGTACAATGTATAAAGGAAATAAAGTGTAGGCTGGGAAATATAGGGACTATGCTTGCCGATAACAATGAAGCCATGCGTTGCGAGTATATTTCAACCATCCTTCAAGCCTCGCTATATATCGTTAAAAGAATAACCAAAAGAGCTTACCTTGGCACCTCAGCTCGAAGTTGTCGGCGAAGAAAGTACTGGTCGAGTTGATTGCGCAATCAAAGTACGGAAGGGAAACTACATCAAGTGGTTATGGGTTTCGCTCAGAACTTGATTCAATGTGAAAGCGC